TGCTACCTAATAAGAGCCTGTACAGTCTTAAACAAGTCTCATGGGCTTCGTTCACCAGACTTCAAGATTTCTTCTCTCTCTACAATTTATTGAATCTCGGGTGAATCATTCAATTCTTTCTTCATTCAGTGTTTTGGTTCTACAATCTTGCTATTACTTGTGTATGTCAATAGCATACTCATCACTAGCTCTAGTTCTATTGCCATCTTTTCTCTCATTTCTATTATCTTCTCAATTTGTTATACTGGATCTTGGTCCTACCAACTACTTAGGTATTGAATTGCATAGAACAAAGCATGGACTTCATTTGTCTTAGAAACAAATTAAATATATAGAAGACTTGCTTGTTTATTTGATCACACATGCATGAGGCTAAAACCATTTTATACTCCAATGGTTTCCTCTACTCGTCTTCTACCGGTGGTAAATATCTCTCAGATCCACAACCCTCTATTATGCTTCTCTGATGTTGATTTGACTGGTTGCCCTATTGATCAATGCTCTCAAAGTGGGTATGTAATTTTTTTGGATCCTAATTTGATTTCCTAATGTTCTAAAAAACAACCCACTATTTCCCGAGATCTAGCATTAAGGCTGAATATCATTACCTTGCTTCTACCACTTGGTAGCTGCCCTGGCTACATATGCTATTCTCTACAATCTTATGGTGTAACAACATGGGGGCAAAATTTCTTGCATCCAATCCTATTCAAAATTCACGCACTAAACATATTGAATTGGGCATTCATTTTATTTGGGAGAAATGAATGCCCAAGCCCAATGCTTGTCAACCCTCATTGATCTTGAGGGGGACTGTCAAGGAATCAACTTCACATCATGGACTCAAGCCTAACTACCTACGTAGTGCATGGAGCTCATGCTGATTTCTAGGATAACAATTATCCTACCTATTGTAATGCTTATCATTATCTCTTTGTACCTTCTCTCTCCCTTATAACATATCTCTATACTTGTATATATACAATTTAAATCAATGAAGCAAATGAATAGATTCATACCTTAAACTTGACTCTATTAGCTCTATAGCTTCAATATGCCTTTAATTACTACCTACTCAGAGCTTTAAGGCTGTGTTTGGTTTGAAGGAAAAAGTAGGGAAAGGTATGGAAACCTTTACAAACCTGGTCTAGGTTTCCCTACCTTTTCCTTCAAACCTAAACTGCATAGCCCAAGGGTGAATAATTCATCAAATCTCATCCTTCTTCTAGTCAGCCTTTGAGTAACTCTGTGCCTAATTTGGAGTCACCCCAGTGTAGTGTTTTTTTAAATTTTGTTGATGCAAATCACTCCAATACCCAGGTTAGATTACAGCATGCAAAATATCTGAAAAGTGGGAAGAACACTAGAATAGGGATGTCAGAAAGGAAAACAAGGAGATAAAAGGAGGAAGGGAAGGAACGAATGGAAGGACAGGTGAAGGAGAGAGAATCTGTAATTTTATTAACATTTTGGGGAACTGGTTGCTCTTGAAGCAGAAAATGTTTCCCTTGGCTTTGAGAAGGTTGAGGTGGACGGGGATTCCTAGTCACTGTTGGCTGGATGTGGCTATCAAGGATAGACCATGGAACCTCCAGCCTTATCAGCTGGGAGGCAAGAGTCTTGGCTTCCAGTATGAACATCTCATTCAGCTCAATTCCAGGGTGAATCAATGCACCCATAGATGTTCTAGCTTCCTAGAAAAGGGTTGTATTGGGCAAGATTCAGTCTTACCAGTTGTCGAGCGCAAAGAGCGATGGGAGATTTTCGAGCTGAAATGGTCGCCATTGGTGATGGTGATTTCTTCTATCTAAAATTCGTGGGGAAGAAGGTGGTTGCACGAATAACGACTATTGAAATATAGCCTTCTGAGTGGCAGGGAATGTCGTTCAGTTTTCGGGTCCCCGAGTCCAGCTCCCAACTGACCCATGAGACACGAGCAATGTCTTGTGGTAGCACCATAGTAGATCCCCAGTTCCAACTCAACGATTAAGGGGTAATTGTGCCAACGGCTGCAGACAGATCGGGTCGAATTCAGATTTCGGATTTGATTATTGATATCGGATATTGAATAATTCCATTGATAGATTAAATTTAAAATAAACAAAATATTACATATTAATAAATTAAAAATGACTTTGATATCATATATCACGAATAAAATATATTGAAAGTAAATTTTATGAGAATTGAACTATAAAACATACAAAAATTCAAAACAGCTTTGTTAACATATACAAATCACCCTTTGATCAATAAGATTTGAATTTGAATTTGGATAAATTGTTTTTATTTTCAATGAAACCTGAAAATAGTTTCAAATAGCTGATAAAAGAAGAAAAAGTAGACTAATTTGGCATTTGGTAGTGTAGTAAATCGGTAAATCCACGAGATAGTGGGTTTTGAACCATGCCGCATCACTTTAATGCGTTTGGTTATGATGTGGTGTGGTCCCAAACCCACTATCTCTTGTTCAAAAATATCGGACACACCAATAACTCATGATGTGAACCACCCCACTTATCTCTTGGCATGGACTACACCAAGCTCAAAAATATCAGGCACACCAATAACTCGTGGTGTGAACCAAGCCACTTATCTCTTGGCGTGGATCACATCACGTACATTATCTCATATTGTGTATCTGAGATACATGGAATCAAAACACAAGGTATGGCCTAAACCACACCACACCACACCCTGCAGAATGCCTATGTGGGTGTGGTGTGATTCAGGCTACCGATTTTTGTTACAGTACAGAACACATTTTTATTGTGGCATTGTGTGTTTCAACCACACCATGCCTTTATTTGATGTGGTTGAGAACACACTACCCAATTTCTCAACCACACTATAGAACACTCCCTAAACTGATTTGATCACCATCCAACACCCGTAAGAAGTGAGCTGTTGCAAATTGAAAGGGCTAGAAGGATTAGGGGTAGATAAAAAAAAAGGACATTGAGTAGAAGTAGTAAGAAAATGATTTATCAATAGATATAGCATTAAACAAAATAGAATGATAAAACAGGATTCATGTTACCAATTCTATATATATATATTTTTTTTTGTAATCACCAACTCTGTAGAGATGATGATGATGATGATGATGATAATGATGATGATATGCACTAAACAGAGAGGAATGGTGAAACAGGATGAAGTCATTTCTTTAGAACATTTTGTCAAAATTTCTTATATGATATTTTGATCATTTCTACTTTTTTTTTTTTGCCATGTAGTTTAATTTATTAATGCAATTTAACATCCAATTATAATCCAAATTCAAACTGAATCCAATATTAAGCCCAACAGGTAAGATTTGATCAGTCTGAATGTTATCGAATCACATTTGGATCGAAGTATATCCAATTTAATCCAGTCTGTTTTCAGCCCTATTAATGTTATACAAATTAAATAGATTTTGTGATGTCTAGTCATTAGATTGAAATCATGGGCCTAGTCATCCTTAAAATTTGGAGTTTTGGACAAATATACAAACCTGTTTCCATTTCTAGGTTTCGATATGGGCAAACTATTAGTGTTGATTTAGCCCCAGCTCATAAATATGGTAGAACCCGAGCCCAGATCTGCTTCTGGCACGTTGTGTGTAAAAAATTATTAACCAATCACGATATGGAACCACTGGCGTTTTCACTTGTGCTTTTTTGATAGATATCTCCACTTGTGCTTGGTTACTTAGCATTTTACACACATCATGGTGAACACTAGATCCCAAGTGGTAGACCCCCAAATGAAAAACATAAGATAACCCTATAACGATAAATATTTATAGAACATTAGTTGTTGCTTTCAAATTTTCGGCACTTCATGGGAAATGGTTCACTCAAGAAATTAATTATTTTGGCTGTTAAAGCTAGGGGTGCAAGTGGGATTTAAGCTCAAACCAGGCCCATTCTTAAGAATTGAGCCTAACGTCCAAGCTCAGACTGAATCTGAGGTCAAGCTTGAACTGTTCAACTTGGGTCCAGCCCACAATAAAATTTGATGTATTCAGGTTGGGCTTTGGCCGAGTTTTGGGTCGAATTGATCAATCAGTCCACACTAAAAATTGATATAAATGCACATGTATATGTTTGTATGTATGCATATATGCATGCTTTACCAAAAAAGTATTCATATACATGTATGCATGCAAATATGTCAACATATACATATATGCATGTACAATCGGGCTGGATTAGGGCCGCCTAAGAGTTAAACCTAAGCCTAACTCAAAAAACGAAAAAAAAAAAAAAACTCAAACTTTTAGACCCAGGCTCAGCTTGAGGACCAAAAATCCAGGTACACTACAAGGGGCGGAGTGGAATTTTACCAAGAAAAATTCTAGGCCAATATTCGGCAGAGCAGAAGAAACAGGATTGTCTAGACCTTTGGACTCCTTCAAGTGTGAGTTAGCAATATATTCAGTGGCCGAGCCATCAGTTGCATACTATTATAAGCCTCAAACCCATAATCTCAGCTAGGGTTGGCTCTAGCGTGAAGAAGAGTCGAGTTTTATTTTCCAGGCTGACAATTGACCTGTGTTCTATGAATAAGGTTGTCCTTTTTGTCATTTGAAACCAAGGCTTTATTTGTTTATAGTGCAATTTTGTTTGTATTAATACAAATGCATGGATAGAAGTGCAAATAAGAAAATTGTAATTTTGGTTTATTTTTACTTTGGGTTTTATTTTATTTTTGCTTCATCTGCATTGTGAATAAACAAAACAAAATAAAACCTATAACCCAAAATTTGGATTCAACTCATTTGCAGTCCCATACTTTTGCACCAGTACAAATGAAATTGCACTTAAAAAAAACAATGCATAAAGAACAACCTGGTCCCTTGCCCACCATCCATGTCCATTCCAATCTGTAAGACGAACAGAAAGTTGTACCTTTTCTTACCAAGCAATGGATCCAGACCCAATCACCCAAATCAGCTAGGCTGCAGAGCTGCACTCCCAGAGAAACGTAGAAAATTGAACTAATGGTGCAAGTATGCAACTAGTGCTCATAAGGCTGCTTTATATGTAAAGCGTGAAACACATTTTCATGATAAGTTCAATGAATTTCTTGCACATTTTGTTCGGCAAGACATTGATGTACAATGTCAGAGTACATGAATTACAAGACACCATCTGAAAATGATTAACCAAACTTTCAAAATGGACAAAATTATTCACACCGTAAGAATGTCAAATTCATGTGGCATAAAATCTTCACTGGGTCTGTAGTATTTGTCTGGAGAGTACAAACTCAAGTTGGTCACTTGGCTAGTGTAAAGACATGCAAACCTCTCCACCTGCACAAATATACATGAACCATTACCAAGGAATGTTGGTTTCGTTGATAAATTTCATAAAATACAACCATGTTCCACATAGAGAAATAAGCATTCCTGAGAAAAGCATCCCACTGTCCCAAGAAGAACGAAAGCATAAATGAAAAAAGAAATAAGTAAGATTGCTATTTCATTGGGAAATTAGTTTCCCAAGAACATCCCAAACATTCTTGATAGTTCCCTTGTCCATGATAGACTTCTCACATGTTTCCTTTCACTTTTCATGGGTTGCAAAGCATCCGTAGTCTCATACAGATTTTCTCGGGAAGTGCCAATACCAACAGGGAAAAATGTCTCTAGAAATTATGGCAGATATTGAGCAGATCATGTGGCAAACAGTAGGACCCGGCTTTTAAGAGTTCCAACTTTTCTTCTGATTATTTTCATAATATCCGGAAGGAGTTGTTTTGACTGAGTTCATTCTTGGCCATGAGATCTGCTGAGTTTTGGGCTGATATTACTTGTTTTTATTTACATAGCATAGTTAGGGAGTTATTGAGCCTTAGGCCCATTAGTTTATGTTTTAAGTTAAGAATGCTTACTCAGTTCTTACATGTAACCGACTTACTAAGGGCATACTTGTCTTTGTACTCTCTTTTTTTTGTGAATATATAATCTAATGGAAGGGATGGCCAGACCTAATTTTGGCTTCTCCCATTCTCTTCTATCTCTCTTCTCTTTCTTTCTTTGCAGAAACCTTATCTTCTCTTTCTTTTCTTCTTTCTTTTATAGATTTCATATCAAAATAGGTCATCCAAACTTTCCTACTTGGTTTCATAGCAAGTTCAAAGATTTTTTTATATGCTCCATCATGCAACCCTAGATCGGTTGACTGCATGATGAGGTAAAGGGCTGATCGAAGACTTCAGGTAAGCCCAGTTTTTGGATTTTTTTGGTGGATTTGCAACTCCTTGTAACTGGTCTAGGGTTTGACACCAAAATCAAGAAGAACTGGAGAAAGGGGGAAAGTCCTGATTTAGTAGGACTCTTCATTTTTTACCTAGGAAGTGGTGCTCTAGTTTTCTAGGGTTCCTTGAGGTTTTCTGAAGAGGGTGGCTCAAGTCCCAGCCTTTTTGGAGGCCTCTGGAGGGAGCAACAACCTCTTCTCTCTCTTTTCTTACTCCTTCGGAAAAGAGAATCTTTTGAGGAAGGGGCTTCTAGGGTACCAAGAAGGTGTTTAAGGTTTCTAAAGGAGATAGATACCTTTCTTTTCATCTCAAATTAATTTCCTAATCTCTTCTGGGAGTTATGGAGGGCTATGGAGTTGAAAACAAATTTGTAGGTGAAATGGGACCATGAAAGGAAGTGTTGTAGACCTCTTTAGGGCCAGGACCATCACCACAATCAAGTTAGATGGTACAAACTACTTAGAATGGTCACAATCTGTAAACATGGCCATTGGTGCTCGTGAGAAATTGGGGTATGTCACCGGTGAGGAAAAGAAACCTGAAATTAACTACTTTCGATGGGTACAAGAGAACTACATGGTGATGGCCTAGCTATGCAATTCCATGTTGGCCCATACAAGTAAGAACTTTTTATGGGCTAACACAGCTAAAGAGATTTGGAATGGAATAGCGGAAACCTATTCACAAAATGAGAATGTTGCTAAAGCCTACCAGTTGAGAAACTAGGTGATTACTACTAGGCAAGGAGATAAGTCTGTTGCTATTTATTTTTCAGCCCTCAAAACCTTATGGTAGGAGATAGATCATTTGGAAAATGTGGTTTGGGAAAATAGCAAAGATGAAACAACTTATCAGAAGCTGGTAGAGAAGAATAGGGTTTTTGAATTTCTAGTTGGACTTAACTCTGAGTATGACGTTGCATGACAACATATTCTTTCCCGAAACAGTGTAACTCTCTCTCAGGCATATACCTTTGTGTATGGAGAGGAGAGTAGGAGGAATGTGATGATGAGGAACCCAGGCCTTGAGCAATCAGCTATGATTAGCACAATGGAACCTAATCCGAGTGGGGACAAGGGTGGAAATGAATTGAGGAAGGAGGACAAGATGGATCTGATCTGTTACTACTGTAAGAAACCTAAACATACCAGAGATAACTGCTCGAAGAATTACCTACACCTTGTACTAACCTGGCTCAGAAACAAGAAGGGAAATGTGAATATGGCAGTGACTGGTGATTTATCATGACCACCTACTACAGCTTCTCTAGAGTTTGTTTCAATAGCTACAGTGAGGGTTGAATTAGAAAGATATGGGCATTTTCTGAGTCAAAGGGATACAACTAGTTCCAACTCATTATCAGGTGGACAGCAAGGTGCAAGTGGATCAAGAGGTAGCCATTCTACTTCGTTTGCACATACAAGTAGTTCACATGCCACTGCAAATTATGTATCCACTACAGGTAAGTGGGACCTCCCTAGATTATAGACTCAGGAACCTCAGAACATATGACCAACATTTCCACCATTTTCTCCTCATACCACCTCTGCTCTAGTAGAGATAGAGTTTCCACAGCCAATGAATCACATATTCCCATTGCTGGGAAAAGGTTCATCAAGATAACCGATACCATTACCCTACCTTCTGTCCTTCATGTTCCTAGACAAAGTACTAATCTTTTATCTGTTAGTAGCTTGACAAAGAATTTGAACTGTTCAGTGATTTTTTCTCCTAGTCGTTGTGTTTTGCAGGATCTGGAATCAAAGAGGACAATTGGGAGTGGTTGTGAAGTGAATGGAATCTACCTTCTTGATGCACTTCCCAATCATCAAGAGTTATCATGTCAGCAGGAGCATTGAGTCAAAGTCAGTGGGTCAGGTTATACTTTGACAAATCGGTTAGGGCATTTGTCTTTTGCTTCTTTGCATTTTTTGTTTCCAAAATTGTTTGAGTCTATCAATTTGTCCAGTTTAGAGTGTGAGAGTTGTCAACTTGAAAAGCATTGTAGACATTCCTTTAAAGCAAATAATAAAAGATGTTCTTCTGTTTTTGATATTGTTCATACTGATGTGTGGGGACCATACCATGTTTCCTCTATGGGTGGTTATCGATATTTTCTTTTGTTTGTGAATGATTATTCTTGATACTCTTGTATATATTTGATGAGATCCCATGATGAGGTATCGTCTTTGGTTCAACAATTCCATCAGATGGTGTTGACGCAATTTGGGGTACAAGTAAAAGTGTTTAGATCAGATAATGCCAATGAATACTTTGAAAAAAGCCTGCACCATACCTATTGGAACATGGAGTAGTTGTACATACACTCCACAACAGAATGGTGTAGCAAAAAGGAAGAACAGACAAATTGTAGAAGTAGCAAGAAGTATGATGTTGAGCTCTACTGTTCCAGTTCGTTTTTGGGGTGATGTAGTTCTTACAATAGTTTTCTTGATTAATCGGGTGCCTTCTCGTGTTCTTGAATATAGCACTCCATTTAGCCTTCTTTTTCTTGAGGAGATGTTTCATATTCCTTTAAGGGTGTTTGGATGTGTATGCTTTTGTCCATGTTCTTGGCCCTCACCGCTCAAAGTTGGATCCTAAGGCGGAGAAGTGTGTCTTCCTTGGGTATGCAAGAAACCAAAAGGGGTATTGTTGCTATGGTCCAGTCTCTGGGAGTCAGTATGTTACTATGGATGTCACCTTTTTTTAGTCCATACCTTTTTTCTCTACGGGTTCTTCTCAGGGGGAGTGTTTTAGGGAAGGAAGTGAGCAATCTATTACCACTTCCTGTTCCAGCTCCTTTGTCCACTCCAGTGTCTGACCCACTTATCACACCCACTTTACCACTTCCACTGTGTCCTATCTCTCAGTGTTTTATGATAGCGCCTACGACAGCACAAGGTGGTTGAATCCACAATAGAGGAACCCACGTCACTTCCTATCGACTCATCGAAGATTCCAGGTTCGACTGACACAGACCCAAGTATATCTCTTGTTACCCCTGATGGTTTAGTTCCTATTGATACTACTACTCTTGCTCCTAACACCATTACAAATGACCTTGATCTCCTTATTGCACTCAGAAAAGGGAAGAGGAAGTGTACTGCTCATTGCATCTCACACTATCTTTCCTACAATGGATTATCTCCTTACCGAGCCTTCCTTTCCTCCCTCAACTCCTACCCAAGAGTGTTAGTGAGGCTCTCTCCAAACCTAAGTGGAAGAACACTATGTAAGAGGAAATGAAAGCATTGATTAAAAATCAGACATGGGAGATTGTGGATTTACCTGATGGCAAGGAGACAGTTGGATGCAAATGGGTTTATACAGTGAAGTACAAGGTTGATGGGAGTATAGAAAGGTACAAGGCGAGGCTGGTTGCAAAAGGATACACTCAAACTTATGGCATAGATTACTTGGAAACTTTTGCACTAGTGGCAAAGATGAGCTTAGTTTGGATTCTTCTATCACTAGCAGCTACATACTCTTGGCCACTCCTTCAACTTGGTGTGAAGAATTCTTTTCTTAATGGAGATTTGCAAGAGGTGTATATGGATCTTCCAACTGGCTTCTATAATGATGTAAAAAGGGAAAGGTATGCTGGTTGGAGAAGTCTCTATATGGTTTGAAGCAATCACCCAGAGCTTGGCTTGACAGGTTTAGAAGTGCATTGGTTGTATTTGGCTATACTCAAACTCAATCTAATCATACTCTTTTTGTGAAGAGGAAAGGGTCACTTGTGTCAGTTTTGATAGTGTATGTGGATGACATTGTAGTCAAAGGAAATGATCTAAGTGAGATTTATACCTTGAAGAAGAATCTGCACAAAGAGTTTGAGATTAAGGATCTTAGGGAGCTAAAGTACTTTTTGGGCATTGAGGTGGCAAGGACCAAGCATGGGATCTTCATCTCACAGAGGAAGCATGCTCTAGATCTACTACAAGAGACAGGAAAACTTAGGGCAAGGGCAGTTGATACACTTATTGATCAGAACCACAGGATAAATGCTTCAGAAGGTGAACTAGTGAAGGATGTTAGAAGGTATCAAAGATTAGTGGGTCGGTTTCTATACTTATGTATGACATGACCAGACATCTCTTATGCAGTGAGTGTGGTGAGTCAATACATGCATGCCCCACGAGTTCAGCATTGGGAAGTTATTGATAGGATACTTTCCTATTTAAAGGGACACCCAGGTAGAGGCATATTGTTTGCTGACCATGGACAGTTGAAATTAGAAGCTTACACAGATGCTGATTGGGTAGGGTGTCTAGATGATAGGAGATCTACATCAGGAGATTACACTCTTATTGGAGGTAATTTAGTTTCGTGGAAGAGTAAGAAACAAACAGTAGTAGCAAGGTCAAGTGCAGAAGCTGAATACAGAACCATGGCACGTGGTGTTTCAGAGCTTCTCTGGATTCGCTCCTTGTTAGGGGAGATTGAAGTTGAAGCCGAAGAACCTATGATGCTATACTATGACAATCAAGCAGCAATTAACATTACCCACAACCCAGTTCAACATGATAGGACGAAGCATATAGAAGTGGATAGACACTTTATAAGGGAAAGGGTGACATCCGAAGAAGTTTGCTTACTATATGTCACATCTGACTTATAACTTGTTGATGTTCTTACAAAAGGTGTTGCAAGAAACAAGCTAGAGCATGATCTACACAAGTTGGGAATGCATGACATTTATTCCCAACTTGAGAGGGAGTGTTGAGTTTTGGGCTGATATTACTTGTTTTTATTTGCATAGCATAGTTAGGGAGTTATTGGGCCTTAGGCCCATTAGTTTATGTTTTAAACTAAGAATGCTTACTTAGTTCTTACAAGCAACCGACTTACTAAGGGCATGCTTGTCTTTGTACTCTCTTTTTTTGTGAATATATAATCTAATGATAGGGGTGGCCAGACCTAATTTTGGCTTCTCCAATTCTCTTCTATTTCTCTTCTCTTTCTTTTCTTCTTTCTTTTACAGTTTTCATATCAAAACAGGTCATCCAAACTTTTCTACTAGATCCAGGTTGGAATCATGGTATGGTATCTCACCCTGTGCATATACCAATACCATTGTAATGGGCAACTCATAGTTTACCTGGCAGGTGTACAATAGTACATTGAAGAATATAGAATCTTTAGAGTACAGTGAAGAAACCTCAATAAGTTGTTTGAAATCCATATAAGACTGACCTGATGTGCAAAGCGAGAGTTCTGGTAGCCAGTCTTCATGAGTTGTCCCCAGACCTTGTGAAACTGATACAGATGACAAAAATGTGATAAATATATAATGAAGTAAACAGCAGAAAGAGAGAATTAAAAAATAAAAAAACTAAAATGCAGGACAGAATTTGAACATGATATGCATTCATCACTAAGGACAGAAAATTAAATATCTAAAGTTAACTAACATATGAAGAACCAAAAATCAACTATGTTTTGGTAAGTGAATAGGAAATTGGATTAATTGGAGGGAGAGGATCCCTCAACATAAGTACATAGAGTACTTGTTAACAATGCAGCAGCTAAAAGACAACCAGATATAGAGACAAAACATAGAACATGCAACAGCTATTTCAGACTACAATATCATATAGACAGCAAGATGTCCTCCCTGATTAGCATAGAGGGAGATAAGTATCATGTAGTTAGCCAATTAATTCATTTGAACCCTTTGGTCAAAAGTGAATATTGACCATCTTTGCAAAATCTGGCAATGCCTCAGGTACCTTGCTTCTAATCCCAGCAACATTAAATTTTAAAAATAAGTTTGGGCTGACAAAAATACATACAAATGGAGTTTCCAGAAGACCCAATTCCATATTTGATGTCAATATTTTCCAAACTCCAGTGGAATCTGAAATTCAACCCATTTTTGGGTTTCTGAAAGCCCTCCACAAAAATGCCATTTTGTTACATAAGCAGGGTCTGTACAAAAGATATCCTTCAAGAGATTTTTCCATCTGGAAAGAACTAATTTTCAAAAACACTCAGATAAATGAATTTCGAATCCATCAGTTCCTTACATTACAAAATCTCTTCCTTATAGACAGAAGTGTTCTCAAATGGAAAGCATAAAAATAGGTTGTACACTAACGACTAACCCGTAATTTCAAATCCATCTGATTGTAAGTATGCTCATGCTCAATATGCAAACAATCTCATGATTCATAATAGATGAATGGAGTCTCAGAAAACCCACTTCACATAAAAATGTAATGGCACAGTTATTTTTCCAGTGATAGTTTCTTAACATGAAAGATTACCTGGTTGAAGTAAAGGTTACTTACCCATTGGTGAAAACTTCGCTGAGCCTGTTGATGGCGAAGACGAACTTCCTCCCTTTGAGACTATCAATCAGAAGGATTGAGAAAACCATATAAATAATTTGCTGGGCCTAATGCAGTTTTTTTTTCTTTGCTTTCTTTATGATGGCAAAGAAAATTAGAGAAGCAGAGAGAGAAAATAACAGATGAAACCCCCAAAAAATTATGATGAGAAAAGACAATTAGAGAGCTTCAGATGAAACTGCAAGAAATAAACAAATGGCTAATCCTCCAAAAACAACACCACCCAATCGGTCAACTAAATTTATGTTACCGATTTATTTCCTTTTTGTAATATCTGGATTGAGTATCTTCTTTCCATGTAGAACTTGTCATGTACATGCTTAAGTTACAAACTTGAAAACCTAATTAAACAAGCTTCCATGGAATGCTCTCACTTTTGGAAATTTAAACTAATTAATTAAAAGCAGAAAAATGTTAAAAAAAATAAAGACTGTTTCTAGGTAAACATCCCTATAATAGACATGAGACAGATGGTCACTATGTCTCAAAGCTGTATGATATTGTGCGCACTTCGGCAGTTTGGCCTAAAATGACCATTTGGGCCCTCTCAAAACCCTACACCACAGCCCACAGGCTCCTTGTTACCATTGGGAAAGACCTACAATTTCAGCCAAGTTACCGCACCATTGAGATCTTAAGGGTAGGACTATGACTAAATGCCTGACTCAAGCGATATTTACTTGGGGGCTGTTCATATTCTAATTATATTCTTTTAATTGCTTTGGTTGAGATAGATTGGATGTTTCCTCTTGCATATATTCTTTTAATTGCTTTGGTTTGCCATATTCTAATTATAAGATACTTGGGGGCTGTTCATCAAAGCATGTGATTTTTTTTATAACAAACAGCCCCTTAAAAATTAAGAAAGAAAAAAGAAAATATATTTTTGAAAAGTTGCACAAGAAAAAGTCAATGTGGCTAACCTCCAATTCCTCCAGTTCAGACAAAAAATTCTGCTTTTCATCAACACTCACATCTTTGAATCTGAAAAAGAAAAAATAAATAAATAAATAAAATAATTTTCCTGAGGAACAATGGTGGCTGCAGTTAACAGCCCAGGACATTCCAGAAACCCTAAAAGTCCATAAACATAGATCCAGAGGGCCTGAATGAAGCTGTAATGGGTCCAACATGAATCCACAGCAGTTATTGAGAGGTGTTGCTGCTCTATAGTAACTTTCTATAGGGTGCAGCAACCACATTCCTAGAACCTTGAGTGCTTTCCTGGGCTGGCCAAAACATGATAGCCAGGTTTTCTATGTATGCACTTTAAATATGCTATTTTTTTCTATTTTTAAGCCTTTAAGTATTTAAATTATGCATGCATGAGTATTAAAGATTTAGTTTTTTTTTATGTTCATCTCTAGGTAATCTTCTTTATTTATTTTGAGATTATTTTCTTAATTACTTAATCTCAAAAATCTGAATTATTGTTCTTGATATTGAATTTCAGGATCTTTACATTATTGATAAAATATAGCCTTATGTTGTTCATTGAGATTGATTTGACTACATCTTTATCCCTAAAACTTTCCTAATATAAACATGTTCCATGAAGTTTTATTTTTTCATTTCCTTGATCACATTGTCTGTTTGGGGTTTCAGTAATCAATACAAGCTCCTAAAAATAATATTTTATTTTAAAGCTAGATTTAAATTCTAAAAAAAATTCTAGATAACTCTAAAAGCCACCATAAAAGGAATAAGTATTATGAAATGGAGCTGAATCAGACTTGTCATGTCTCTGATGATCAACTCAGAGCAGAGTCTATCCTTGGCATAATGCTTACTTGAGAGACCACTTTAGATGATGTATTTTGTCTTCAACAAGATCGCGCTCTTTCCTCAACAACCGAAGTTGCTGCATCAACAAAAATTACAAAAGATAAGAAACAAAAGGCAGTCAAAAAGTCTTTTTTTTTTTTTTTTGGGGGGGGGGGGGACTAATTGTACACTATCATGTCTATATGGACCTTGATTCAACAGTAAGAGTCAATAAAAAACAACATAAAATCATTTCATTAGGGAAAGAAGAATAATTTGTCACTGCTTCCTGATTCAATGATGGTATCACTAGAGATGTACATTGTACCTAATTTGGGCCAGCCACAACTACCTAACCCCAAAATGACTATTTAACTATTTACATACATAATTTTCATATGGTTGCCCAAAACAACTGTGCCCTGTTCACCCCTAGTTTTTTTTTTTTTTGAAGATAAATAAAGAAAATTTATTAAGAAAAGAGTAAACAGCAGATGATGGGCAATCACCCTGAAGAAATAAGCAAAAAACTACAACACATTCCAACCCTCCAACTCCCAAAAGACAAGAAAAAACCTTCACAAGGGAGCCTTTCCTTACAAAACAAGAACAAAAAAAACAAAATAACAGCCTTCCAACCAGAAAACCAACCCAACAGCCAGCCAAAAACATTAACCTCAACTTTCAGAACCCTTGCCTCGCCAACTAAAACCACAACTTAAACAAAAAACCTCCCACCTCACTGCCAAAAGAATACTGATTAACTTTACTCACCCTTTTTCACCTCCAGAAAAACTTTTCTTGCAAACTCTTTTCCTCCAAAAAAGTGCAGACCCAAAATTTTGCTAACCTGCACTGTCTCAACCACTTTATCCAGATCCAATTTTTTTTCTCAACTAGCCATGTTTGATCTAACACCTCTTTATCCTCACTCTCCCCTACCTGTGAATCTTCTCCACCCAGTTCACCCCTAGTTTAGCCATTGAGTCAGAAAGCATTGTTCCTGATCAATGCACCCAGTAAATGTGATAGCCAACTGTCAAGTTGTTCGATATTCCTCATGATATTCTAGTGTTGCCAAGAACCCTGGTGGCCATTCCTCAACCAGCCCACCACTATCATGTAGTTCACTTGTTCCTAAATGGGATTCCCTTTTAAACTGTTTTCTAAGAAAGCTTTACACAACCATTGAGATGGACCAAATACTTTTAAGTTGTAAGGGGTGATTCCCCTCTCTTGTGGGTTATATCACTCTGATTAAAAGTGCCTTTCTTAGTATTCTCATCTACTTTTTTCTCTGTTTTCTTTTTTTTTCCACAAGCATACTTTGTTTCTCTGTTTACAATAACAGTCTCAGTTTCCAAAAGGTTGGAACAAAGGGACTTTCTATGGAACAGAAGGGTTAGCTGTTTTAAACCATTGAGAGGTTTGGGTATTCAAAAGATGAATGCGGTGAATAAAGCTCTTCCTGGAAATGGCTCCAGGAAATGGAAGAGGGTAGTACCTACTGAATATGGAGAGTCAACTAATGTTTGGGCATCTAGATCAGTATCAGGTTCTTGTGAGGTCAATTTCTGGAAAGGAATTATGGAAGTCTATGAAGATTTTGTGTCTCTAAAACAATTTAAAGTAGGTGATGCATCATGGGGACTACTTCAGTTGTACAGAAATGCTTAGTACCCTTTGCCCTAGACTGTGTAAAGTATCTCATCAAGTTTGAAATAACAACTGTGATTTTTTTTTTTTATTTTACAATACAAGACTCTGGAGTGGTTTGGAAATGAATCTAATATCATAAGGCATGAAAGCTATTAAAAAAAAAGGTCATAGGACACAAATAGATCTCTCAGTTAAGGATTCCTGCATATTCCTACGCTCCTCCAAATTCACATAATTTCTTCTTTGAATTGATCAAATGACTAAAAGCATAAGCTATTAGAGAACAAAAGAAAGGGAGAATGTGCATTTCCTTGATGAAGACCTCTCTAGACTGGAAAATAAGCCTCTAAAGGACTGAAAACTAGGGGTAGATGTTGTATGGATCACATATAATTTTTTTATTTAAATCTAGTTTGCATGAAAGGACCATTTTACCAAATTTAATCTAGAGATAAATCCCATCTCACTTTTGGTTTGCAGCAATATTACTTTTTTGAATAAGAATTACCTTATTTTAATATTAATTATAAAGAGACAATTTTAAGATATCAATTCTAGTTAAAACACTTTAGAGATTAGAAAAATAACATAACTGAATCATCATCATCATGATTAAAATAATTGAACAATAAGTTGAATTCATCAACATTCTGTCTATATTTTTCATGAAGGTAAAAGTGCCTAATTTCGTTCTGTTACCCATGGAAAAAAATCAAAATTTTAGAAGCACCATCTAGATCAAATAAGTATCATCATATAGAAATATGACAGAAATGTCAGTTAAAAAAGATAATTGTAAAGACTTTCTGGTTCACTTAACCATTTACAAACAACCAAAGATGTCTATGGTGTATCAAAGCAAAAATAAAATGAATCAACAAATTCTCAAGTAGGAAGGTAGTTGATATCATCTTAACAACATATAACATAATTTAAGCAATCAAGTTGCATGATATGACAATCAAGCAAGATGGAATTTCTGAGTAAAAAACAACAGTTAAAACCCATGGATAAGCATAGATAAAGTTATGCATGAAAAATACATAACAAGTCCTGAACCATCAAAAGCACAGGCTGCCAACCATATTTTGTGTCTGCTTTTCAAATAAATCTTTAGCCAACATCTAGAATCGAATATAGAGAATATAATCAGCATTCAAGTAACATATATGGTTTGCAAATAAGGCATGTTATGAACACCTTACGAGTCTCCCTGGACTCCCAAAGGAGTTCCACCTCCCTTTCCAGCTCTGGAACAACAAGCATTGTTCTCCAACCTTTAAAACAAGAAACAAACCATAACTATACAAAGAAACAACAATGAGTATAAATGGATTCACACCCCCTAAAGAAAAAAAAAACAATAATCGCATGACTAAATAGGATGAAATAACATTTTGCTAGATTTTTGAAACATCAACTACCTGAATGCACCATATAAATTACTCTGATAAAAATAAACCACTTTGAAACTATCAAAGCACACAATTCATGTTAACTAATGTACTAGGCTTCTCTACAATGTTTTTTTTCTCCTTTTGATTGGTAAGTCATCCATTTTATTAGTTGTGGTAAAAGAATGGTATTATACAAAGAGAGAAGTGTCCCAAGCTCCACACAAAGAAATTTAGGCTAGCTTTTGCTACCTAACTGTCTAACACAAAAACCAGAGTACTTGTACTCCCATACAATTATACTGCCTGATTAGTACCCCTCAGTACAGCAGATTTCTGTTCACACCCTGCCTTACCACATCAGCCTTACAACTGACCGATCTTTGGGTCCAAACAAAAGATCTTAGTTCTCTAGCCAGATGATTATGTCATCTATAAATTGCAGATGGGTGATACTAGCTCAAATATGTCATACGTTAAAAGACAGAAGCAAGAAAATTATATTCTTATACAGAGAAAAAGGATAAATCAATCATAGAAGTATAACAAATACTCTAAAGTGCATTTCACAATATATGGTTACTTCTTGTGCACAGATGTTGCTTTTGTTACTTACCTAGATTTGTACAAATATCTAAGATATGTTTGTGAAATTCTAGTTGATGCAATCTCCTTATATCCCAGTAAATAGTTTTACCAACCTAGATTGCTTAGTTTCATTTTATTGTCAAGAGTATGAGTTATGCATAATGATGACTTTTCATCATTTTTTTCTTTGTTTTGGTTTTGGTGTGTGTGTGTGGAGGGGGGGAAGAAGGATAAGCTTGTATTAAGGTGGACTCTAAAATCAAAATCACAAGAAACATAATATAGATGCCAGCATCTTTTACTTTGGTAGAATATAAGAGATGTATGGTGCAATTTCCTTATATATGTAATTATGAAAGTTACCTTAACAGTTTTACACATTTCTTAATTTTTATTCTTCTTTCATTATGTTTCAGTTAAATTCTCAGATATATTTCCATCTCCCAAGTGGCATATATGCAACTATATTCAAACAAAAAGCAAAGACATGGAAATTGACATTTAAAACCTTGACATCCATCAACATAAAAAATTTATTTTTATACTTTTCATTACAAAAGAATGAAAAATCAGCAATTTGAAATTATTTTAGAAATTATCCAAACAATTCAAAAATCTGTAATCAAATGGTTAGTCACATAGTTGTCAAGGCGACGCCTAGGCGGGCGCCTAGGCAACAAGGCGCCCTTTGAGGCTCGCCTCACCCAATCGCCTAACAGTTTTCTACTTCCTACTATAAAATACTTTTTTATTCATTCTTTTTTGAGATGATAATTATAAAATAGACATTATTAAACTAAAATAATCATTTTGTGTGTTTATATACTAATTTCTTTTTATTGTTTTCTTCTTCTACTACTACCAATACTTTTTATTTTCTTCTTTTCCTATAACAAAAATAAGGGTTCAGCCCCTATATTTTTTGAATTTTATTTTCCTTCTTCCTTTTCTTCTCATGAATATGTTGATTTTCTATACTTAAATATGAAATTTATACTTTTCTTATGAAAACCATGAATAATTATTAAAGAAATATGGTTATGGTACCTAGGGAACTACCCTAGGATCTATTTTTTAACATAAAAAAATCCATCACCTAGGCGACTAGGCGCCCCCCAGTCGCCTAGCCTCACCTTGGGGCCTTGAAAACTATGGTTAGTCATAATATCTAATTACAAATTACAAAACTAGTAAGAAAAATTAGTAATAGTTTATGTTTTAAACAAGTTATAATTATATATGCTATTGCATATCACAATGAATACTAAGTAGCAGTTAGAATAATTCTAATAAATTCAAAGGTTATCAAGAAGAGCAAAGAAACCAATACAAGAAAAAACAATGGAAAAGAAACTATACCTAAAACTTTTTTACTGCGTAAAATATCTCCATATATGTGATCCCCAATGTAAAGGACCTAGTTCATATAAACAGAAACTTCTTAGAAATGGCGGGAGAAAATATCTATTGTAAATAATACAATAAAATCCAAAAAAGAAGAAAGCTTTTCTAATCAGTTTTCATTCTAGCCACAACAAGAATTCATGGGGGAAAACTGAGAGGAAAATCATTTCTAATAAGTTTCCATAAAGGATAGACTTTCAAAAAGGTCAACTCTCTTTCATATTCAATTTTATATAAGCATATAAGACAAGAAATTGAAAAGAAAAGAAGTTTTTATGTTGAATTAATTTGTTACGAATGATAGAATTAAAAGTTTATATAATTCATAATTAGGCCTTTGTACATATGAAGCATCTCACTAATGATAAATCAATGATAGAAAAGAAGTTTGTAATGTCCTTGTTATATTTTCAGAACAGCAGGGTATTAGCAATCATTAATGAATTCCTTTGACCATTTTATTGATAAAAAGAATGTTGGACCAAGTGATGCAGCACCTGTGAACTTGCTTCAATTGAAAGTAGTTTATGAAGATGGCCAACACTTCCTCCCTAGAAAATGCAAGTTCCAGAACATCATCATTAACCAACAAGAATTTAATTTATACATCATAGAACTTTGCCATTAATATATGGCCATCTATCAGAGGTTAGATAAGAAATAAGTTAAGTGAATACCTGGAAAACTCTACAAGCCTTTTTTGATTCTTTAGATGGTAATCTTGGTGATGAGTTTCCAATCTTTTAGCCAAAAAGTAAGATCAACAAATAAGTAGAGACATAAATAAGATTTAATATGGAATCCAAAGACAGGAAAGAATAGCATGAGAATTACAAATACTAACCTGGGGTACTGGAGTTCCATTATCTGTATTAAGTAGCATTCCGGACTCTGGTTCAACCTCAAATAGATTTGCACGGTTATCTTCATGGAAAAAGCTTGGCTTTGAGCTGTAGACATCGAACCAAAGATGATAAGCAGTTTTTTATGCTAGGCATAAACAACTCCTTTAAGTTATAAAAAAATAAAAAAAAAAAGAGTAAATTGACTAGGCTAAAAACCATGTACTATCAATAAGGAACTGCATATATTCATTGAGATATCTTAATGTAGCACAATACAGTTTCTGAACATAATGGCATTTTTCTAATGCCAAGTGGTAGTTTTCTTCAAACCAGAACAAGTAGTGGACAAGCACTAACTTTTTACTAATTCTTTTCCTTGTTAACTAAAATAGAGCACAAAGGGCCAGTGGTACAAAAGTCTCAAGAGAACCAAACCCATTCAAATGGGTCCCCTTGTAAAATACAGAGCTGCAAGTCCTACCCTGGCTAGAAAAAGGCCCTTGGAAAAGAACACTTCTCCATGTGAAGCAAGTTAGCCATCAAATTAGTATATCTAAGAACATAGAAAAACAAGGGGTTCATCCTGGAACTCAGGGACCTTAGCTCTCTGGTCATCTGATGTTATATTGCCTATTTGGGAGGGCTTTCACACAGCAGCTTCTGGATTTTCATGGTGGGCCCCACACAGAAAGCCTAGAAGCTATGTCTGGTGAAAAACCTGGGGGCCATTTGGCAAGTCTTTTTTGAAAGATCTTCTAGAAGCTCTTATAGTCAAAAGACGATGTGAGCTTTTACATCAAGATCTTAACAGCTTGAAGACCGTTTGGTTAAGGCACGTCTATCTGCGTGAAGATGAGTTGAAAAAAAAGGCGAAAAGCTCCATTTGGAGCTTCCCGAAAATAGCCCAAAATGGGCTTCTCACGTCTTTTCGAGGTTGTGGCTTTCGGCAGTTAGATCTTTTCCCAACCAAACGGGAAAAGACCAAAACACGAGCTGCCGAGCTTCTAAAAAGCTAACAGCTCACGCGAAAAGACGCGCCAAACGGAGCCCTGGAAAACCCAAATACACTTAAATTGAGCTGATAAATTATCTTTCCGGGGATGTTAATTTTAGTAACTTGTTCAACGTGGCTAAGTCAACACAGCTCAAACAAAGCTGAAGACCTCCCAAACGAGCTCATAACCTCAAAGAGCCTGATCAGCTATCCTCATTTAACTGGTTTTTCATGATTTGTTGTTGTCTAGAAATAGATAAAAGAGGTACAATGTAGCAAAGATATAAGGTCTGCTATAATCAGAGTTGTGGTAGGATGTGCAAATATCCAACGATGAAATAAGGTTTTGATGTTTTGTATATTGTCCAAGAACTACAACAGAAAGAAAAGAAGGCTGGATAGTATGTACATAAAAGTGGAATTCCATTAACTAGAACATCTGATGAGGCAAAAAAAAGAAGAAAATTGAAAAAAAAAAGTGAGCGTACTCTGTTTTGCATGTTTTTTGTAGTAGGATCCCAAATTGTTGTTTTTTGGTAGCTTTGTTGACAGTTTGGGACCAGGGGTATTTTCGTCATTTTATAAGCCAGATTCTGGTCAGGGGCAGTTAGGTGCATATCTGTTGGGTTTTGGTCTCTTGGGTCTTTTTGTAACAAAATTTATCTTTTGGGGGTTCATTTGAAGTTAGTTTTGTTCTTAAGGAGTTGCTTGTGAGAGGGAAACATTCTAGGGCTTTATGTGTAAATATTTTAATTGGCTTCTCCAGCAAGCCATTGGGTCTTATAAAAGAGAAGGGGGGCTGTTTCTGGACTCTGGAGGGGTTTTTTGGTTCTTTCTCTCTTGTTTGAGTTGTAGCTCAGCCCCAGCTAGGGTTTTTAAGTATTGGGAGCTTGGGTTTTGAGGAGTCAACCCATTTTGGCACCTTTCAATCCCTCCATCGCTGCATGTCCGTGCGGGAGGCCAGCTTACTTCAGCTTGGTATTTCTTGTGCTTATTGCTGTATACTTGAAGTGTTGCATGTAAGTTGTTTTCTGACCACATCAGCATCAGATAGAAATAAGAGAGGAAAAAATAGAAATATTCTGGTTTAACAAAGAAGCCAGCATAAGAAATAGAAAACAATGTAATTAGATTAGAAGAATAAAAGAGGGGGAAAACAGGGAATTTTTTAATAAATTGTATGGAAAATAGGTAGATATTCCTCACAATATAGAGATGTACATTAATAGAAATCCAAAATGACCGTGAGTAGCATATAGAGATGTACTCTCCCCTGTACAGTGAAAGAAGAACAGAAAATGATGTCATCCCATTGTCCCCTGAAATAGACTGTCTTAAAATTGCAAAGACCTTGAGGATGGAACCCAGCATCTAGGTTTGTTTCAATCCTTCTAATTACCACCTTCATTGTAGACAATCTTCTCCTTCCATATAGTCCAGCATAAAGCAAAACTCAACAAGTTTCAAAGAATCTCTCCCCAAACATTAAAAACATTCACCAGCCACAATGAGATCAGCATTGATAGATCTTTTAGCACTACCAATTGCCACTTAAATAGCCCCAAGTTTTGAATGTGATCTTTCTATTGCAATGTACTAATAAGTGCTTGACTGATCCCTCCCCTTGGCCAAAAAGATTGCAAGCCTTTTGCAACAGAGAAAATCTATGGTAGAAATGCACACTTGTGAGTCTGGGAGGGAAACATGAGAATAGTGAGACCCATACTTTTTCCTTGATTCACGTGGTAAATTTTGAAAATTACTTTCTCTTAAAAGACTTGTTTTCTGGATGAGACAGAAACTCTTTTGGATGTTCTTCATTATGGTATGCATATATCACTTTTTTTAATTGATGACATACACATATAAAATTATTAAGAGAAAATTTTCAGGTACCACCACCAAGTGTTCTCTTGCAACAAAAGCAATAGCTCATCTCACAATTGATGAAAGCTACATGTTGTATAAACAAAACAATGCCATATCAAAAGTTGTTACTTATTAAAAAAATTAATAAAATGGAAACCAAAAAGATAAGAATGTCAAAGCCATCAATCTCAGAAGAAAACTCAACTCATCTCAGCCTTAAGCCCGTTTATTTAAGTCCATAGATCATTTACTACCACTTATCCCATGTTTTCTTTGGTCTTCCCCTTGCTCTTTTTAAGCTTTCTACTTGCATAGTTGTACCAAGTCACTCTTTCTCATTAATGCATTGAATATTTATCTATTAAACCATCTCAATAAACTTTGGCCCATCTTATCACCAATTGGGGCCACTCCCAAGTTCTCTCTTATTTGCCCATTTCTAATTGTGTCCTTTCTAGTCTCATTTATCAATCTCAGGCTTCTCAGCATACAAGAATGCTGGTCTTATAGCTGTCTTATATAATTTTCCTTTTAGTCTCATTGATATACACCAGTTGCAAGCACACCAGATGCATTTTCCACTTCAACCACCATGCTCTAATTATTTGTGAAACATCCTCATAAAAATCTCCCCCATTATTGTTGATTTGTCCAAGGTACCAAAAATAACTAGTTTGGAGTATCACCTAATCAATTTTAATTGCACCCTATGGTTATTGCTATTCTTACTAAAATTATAAAATATGTATTGTCCTAGTCCAACTTATATACATATGCATACAATGTATTATGCATATGTATATAATTATGGATATGACACTAAACACAACAGAATGGCAATGGTGAAACAGGATTCATGTAGCTGACCCCATATAGTTAGGACAAGGCTATGACAACAGACAACAACAACAACAATGTTTTTTTTTTGGTTTTGAAAGGTGAAAAGAGTAATTGTATTGAGTGTAAAAAAAATATATATGACGACAACGATGATGGCAATGATCTTGAAATCTTTTGATTCTAAAGATACTCTAAATTATTCAAACTTTGCATTAGGCCCATCTTATAGTCTTATCAATCAATACTATATCATCTACGCACAGCATACACCACTGAAATCACAAAACTATTAACAAATTATGGGCAGAAAGACTGTTTTGCAAGTCCAAAAAAGCAGAATATAGATACGCAAGGGAAGAAGATAACCTGCCAGTGATAACAACATCAAAATTTTCAAGCCAACTATAATTGCAAGAATGAATACCATCTGTAGTTTGATTCCCACAGAGGAAATTCATCACAACATTTGTGTAGTCCCATAAACTGCATAAGAAATTTAACAGATACCATCATTGTCTCATACACTGAGTAAAACCAACATCAAGCAGTACAGAAAAAACAAATAGAAAGAAATATAGAAAAAAAACACCTAAATTTTCAACATAAGCACTGTGTAGTATTAGGAATAGGCTAATCTTCGAAAGACAATGAATCTCCTCTTCATTTAACAAGAAAAGAGAACATCATATAAGAAACTTGTATGGATATTGGACCTGTTTTAAAGAACGGACTTTCCACCTAGAAGTTACAGACATTTCATAGGATGCCTTGTAGGAAGATTGGTTTGCCATATTGGGCAGGTAAAAAGTGATCAAATCTTCTCTTTCAAGCGTACCTGTGCATCATCTCTTCATCTTTAAAATTCCAGTTATAGTGGCAAAGAGGATAGAGAATATTATGAGAGACTTCTTGTGGGATCTTGATGACTGTAAGTCTAAGAAGACGCACCTCATTTTTTGGGACATAGTTTGTAAAAGAAGAAAAGAGGGGAGACTTTGTGTGGGAAAACTGGTAAAGAGGAACTGTTCTTTCTTACAAAAATAGCTGGGAAGGTTTCTGTTAAATTCTGATAAATTGTAGCGTAAAATAATTAATAGTAAACATGGCTCTGCTGAGAATGGTTGGGATGCTAGTGTTGCTGCTGCCAAGACCACCCTATCCTCTCCTTGGAAATCCATTTATGGCCTTCTTAGCTCCTTTCTGTCCTTCATTCATTATGATGCCTCATGTGGAAACAAAGTGAGATTTTGGGGATATCTTTGGTGGGTGAGATGGCTTTAAGGGACAAGTAACATTATATTTACTCCATTTCCACTTATAAAAAAGACTATTATCCATTGGCTACCATACTTGGAACTTGGGTTTGAGAATAGATCTAAGGGATTTTGAGCTTCCTGTTGTTCAAGACCTTATCTCATCAGTGTAAGGAATTTTCTTTGATACTGCATCCCTTGATAAGAGGGTTTGGAGTCTTACCCATTCTGGATTCTTTTCTTGTGTGTTGTTCTTTGATTGTGCCTCCTCCTCCTCCCTGATTGGTACATTCCCTGCAAAAGATATCTGGAGCAAACCTGTCCCACCTAAGATTAAAGCTTTTCATTGGGAGGTCTACCACTTAATAATCCACATTTATTAGGTTCTTCAAAGAACAAGACGCAATTGGTGTTTATCCCCCCCCCCCCCATGTTTGTGTTGTGTATGACAAGTAGTGAAACTATGCATCACTTACCAATCTCCTGCAATTATATCTCTAGCATTTGGGTACACTTACTTTCTATCTTTGGATGTAGGTGGGCCCCTCCTAGAGAAATGAAAGGCTTGTTTGATGATTCATTCTTCTCCCCCTGAGAAGAAGAGGAAAGATTTTATGGAGATGTACTAGGGCAGTCATAATTTGGTCAGTTTGAGAGGAGAGAAGTGCAAAGAGTCTCAAGGGGAAGATCTTACCAAAGAGGTGTTTGACTGACAACATCAAGATCAAGGTTATTCATTGGGCTAAAACAATACCTACTTTCCATTCCTTCTCAGTGGATGACTTTATTAGAATTTTTTTTTTTTTTTTTGATGATAAATTGGCAAGTTGTTGCTTCTTCCTCATATACATCCTTGATGCCAACACTCTATTCTTGGTCCCCTCTTCTTGAAGGCCAAATCAAGCTTAACTTTGATGGTTGTAGCTTGGAGAATCTAAGCAGACGGGAATTTTGGGAGTTTTTAGACACCATGATGACAAGATAGTTGCTTTATATCAGGAGTCAGGACCTATTGGAACTGGTAACTCTATAAGAGCAGTTTATCCAGTTGGTAGTGGAAGGAGATTCTAGGACTATTGTTGGGTGGCTCAGGCAAGGGAGTGAGGAACCATGGCAGTACAGACATATAATGAGGGAGATTAAGCGTTTTGCAAGAGCATTAGGAGATACATTCTAATGGAGTCCAAGAGAAATTAATTGCTTGGAGATGTGATTCTGTCCTCTAAATCTGATATTAATTTCTGATTACAGCAAATAAAAAGGAAAAAGAAAAGAGGAATACAGAAGAAAAGAAGAAGAGAAAGGAGAAGAGAGTTCAATGATGTTCTCTCCTCTCTCACTAATCTTTTATTAATCTAACTTAATTAGGATTAATTACAAGTCTGCCCTTAAGTGGGCGGCCAGCTCATCAATAACTTAAAAGAATTACAAAAAAGTTAACAGGCCCATTAACAAATAAAGAATAAAAAGAACACTACTTAACAAAAAAAAAAGCACTAGGACCCATTTGGCCTAGTCTCTCGACACTTGGCAGATGGGTTAGCTAAATAGGGGACTAAGAGATCTCAAATGTACTTGGGAATTATTTCAGGAAGGGATGAATGATATGTAATTCATATGTTTAATGGACTGTGGGTGGGTAGAAAATGCTAGCCCAAACTGAGGGGTGTAATCATATTGTACTGTATACAACTCTCAATTCCTTTCATAAATTAAAAAAGTTCTTTTTAGTGATCAAAAATAAAGTGATTTTGTTGGTTCATTTTGCATTCAGCTAAAAACAACCATAGACTGAAACAGCAAAATATAGGATTACCCTTTGCAACTGATCTGCCAACTTCAATCGGCAGAACTAAAAATAAGAACACCATGAGCTGCTGCTATACATAACTTATGTTTTGGTCAAACATTAGTGGCATCCAAAGTGACCCAATTCCCTTTCCTTTTGACATAGTATAGTATTTTAAAACCAACCAAATATCAACCAGAAAAGCTGTCTAGGTGTCATACATATTATAGGCAATATGTATTATATGCATATGCGTGTATTTGTGTATTTGTGTATGTGTGTATGCATGCATGCATGTATTTCTTACAAAGAATTAGTAAAAGTACATCATTACCTGTTTGTCACCAGGAATGTGGCACGACCAGAATCTCTAAGCATTTTAATCATAGGAACTATTGAAGGATCCTCATTTATGTACCTAATAAATAAACAATACCACAGTAAAATGATATTACATCAATACAAATGATTGAAGATTTTCTACTAAATTTATGATATGATAATATAAATATTCTTAATGACAATTTTACTCATTTTCTTCCTTATTATAAAACAGCTCAACCAATGCATATACTTATTACTTTTTAGGATCTTTTGCAACCATTTGCTTCAAAGTTCCATCACGATGGCACAAGTCAACTGCAGCTCGAACATCTTTATACATCCGAGAGTAGCTTGAAGAATGTAATACAATATATAAGGGCAGAAAAATAAAAAAATAAAAAAAAAAACAAGAATCAATTTACCCATTTAAAATTTATCATGGAAAATAACCAACTTTGAAAACAAATGAATGTAAAATGACTATACTGTTTATTATGCACCAAATCACTGTAGCAAAATCCATCCATAACAAATAACAAGATGAAAGAAATGCATGAAACAATTGAATTGAAAGGTTAATGAGTAATTTTCATACTCAGCATTATTTGGTACTTTTCCAGGATTATTGTCCTTGAAGTCAACAAGTTGGGCAAATAGGTAAGCTTCTGCTAGTGAGAAAAGAGTATCAATAAGAGCATAATCAGGCTCATCAAATGAATCTCGTAACAATGTGTTTCCATAAGTTGCAATTTTGTCTTCCTTAGACATCTCTCTAAAGCCATGATAGGCTACTTTCACATATTTGTGCCGATCCATCTGCAAAAGAACAAAGAAAAATTTGTTGTATACAAGAACTGAAGCATGTTGAAAGTCAAAAGTTGAATTAATCCAAGATATTAGCAAAGGTAGTGTAAACCAAGCATCTAAAATTGTGGAATAGAAGAACAGGATGCATGCAGCAGAATGCAAAAGGGCACAATAACTGCACAAGTGCCTTAACAAACAGAATTTACATCTCAAAACCAGTGACTAACCTTTAAGATGTTGCCTCTCTTCTTATCAAGAACCAAACCCCTGACCATGTATTTCCAATCAAATGACCACTCCAGTAACTGCATAAGCAATGTCCATCAACCAACCTGCCATCTCTTGCTTCAACAAATAACAGCCATACAAAATGGAATTGCTCTAGAACTAGATCAAAGAGAATTTTAAATGACTATACATAAGGCAAGAGAAAGATCAATCAATTCATTAAGAATACATGAGAAGTAAGTTGAGATTGAAATTGTGCAATAATAGTGTAAACAGTAGGATTTCAAATAATGTTATTGGTTCAAGATTTTGAGTTAAAGAACGAATGTAGTAGAAACAGGAGAAACGGGATCAATATTAGAAATTTCAGTGAATTTATACCAAGCAAATACTGTGTAATCTCCTTTTCTTTTTCTTTGGAAAAATCATTTTATTATCTAAACGAAAAGCTGTGTAAAATCATGAACAACATAAAATTCTCTTAATTATTTGTGTCCTAATAGAATGACCCTTAATATGTATACCAAAACTAGAATGGGTGTTAATTAACATAAAGAAATTTGTAATAGTTTGGAGATGTCTTCCCTTTTCAGTCTTTTGGGGAATATGCAAGGAGAGAAATATAAGGCTGTCTGGAGATAAACATAGGAGAATCAAAAGAGTGGTGGCTGATATTGCTAAAATGACTATAGATTTGGGTGCTGGTTCTACCAGATTTTGCCCAGACACTAGATCAAAGTTTAGCAATAGATTTTTGAACGTATTGAAATGTTACATGTTGTATACAGATAGCCAATCAACTTGGAGTGGAAAATTTGATAGTTGAGGGGGATTCCAAGGTAGTAGTGGGCTGGCTGACAAGTCCAGAAACAGCTTGTTGGGGCTACAGGGATCTGTTAAAAAACGTTAAATGGCTGACAAGAAATATGACAGTCGGGGTTCAGTGGGTTAGCAGATCAGCAAATGCAATGGCTGATTCTCTGGCCAAGCAAGGGGTATCAAGGGGAGATCTGTTCTGGGATACCTTGTAATTGTGTTTCTGGCTTGTGTGTGTTTAATGCTTATGGTTCAGTCCTTGGGGGAGGTAACACCTTGTGCCTCCTCCTAGGCTGACTGTACTTTCTTTATTTGAATTAAGAAAATCACTCTCATTTATCAAAAAAAAAAATGTTAAATGTTAATGTATCAAGGTGTTTCTTTAACACCTTTCTTCAGATGTAACTTTTCATTTTTGATTTGTTAATAAATTTCTTTTGATTTTTCTATCAAAAAATATATATATTATAGTAGAAAGAGGGAAAAGTGGGAGGCAAGGGGTCTTCCAACCTCAATGCTTGAATGGACCTTTCTTTCCTCTCCCTTCGTACATATGTGGTTTATTTATTGTTTGAAATTAAAAAAAAAAAAAAAAGAGCATACTAAAATCCTTCTTAACTCTCTTTCTCTCTCCAATAGTATACGGGTAGAATGTAGAAACCTCCTCCTATCCTTCTTACCTCTCTCTCCAACAATCTATGGTTAGAACCTCCCCATGCCCTTATGTTTCTTTCCTCTTAACTCTCTCTAAATCCTGTTAGACAGTTTTGTATGCCCTTAGCTTCAATCAGAATGATGTACTTTATGAGTTTATTGTGAATGAATAAAGATACATATTTGATTCATGTTCCCT